GAGTGAGGGATGATCCTTATTTATAGTTGATCATGATGTAAGGCTCAAGCGTTTGAATTGGAGGCAAAATTAATGAAATCGTGTGAATCTGCTAAGTGGGAAAAGTGTGACTTCACATGGCTCAAAACGCAGCAAAATGGATGGTTCGAGGGTCGTTTCTCATTATGGCAAGTTCCTAAACATGATTATTCGCGGAATTGATCCTTAAACAGGCTTGTAATTAGGTTTAAACTAATTTTCAAATTTGACTGAACATGAAACTTCAATTTCAAGATGCCAACTTCATAGCCATGGTGCCAACAATGTAAGGCACTATATGATGTGATTTTTGAAGCATTGAAAAGATATCTTGTCAATCTTTACAATGTGAAAAAAAATGGTTACATTTGGTGTCTTGGATCAAAAATTGTATATCTTTGAAATCATAAAAAACACACGGATTTTCCACACTCAGAAAAATTTCTAAGTTTGGCATTAAAAGTGACTTGTAATATTTTGCATCCAAACATGGCCTTCCACTCAAAATTTGCTTTTGACCAAAAAAGATGGAATGAAGTAGATCTCTTAAATGACATTTTGAGATTTTAACCACTTAAAAACTCCATGAATTGAGAAAGTTATGACCTTGTGAAGTTGATGAAAATCCATGAAATGACCTATAACCTTTTGAACTCTTAAGGCATCTTCTAACCATTTTCAAGCTTTGCACATAAAAGAAAAGTTGCGATTCATACTCTTAAGATCATTATGGAAAAATAATGGTCTCAAGGAGAAAAGAATTGACCAAGTTATGATCTTTTGAAGTCGAACCCTAAAATTCAAAGGCCTTTCAAGGAGACTTGTAATCTTTCTCAATCATTAAGCATCTTCCACATAAATATTTCTTGAAACTTTTGAAGTGATTTGTTGAAAAACCTTTAAAGATAAGAATATCTTTGGAATCACTCAAAAACCTCTAAAGATGAGCAAGATATAGGCCTTAGAAGTTCAAAACCCTAGCTCCTAGAGCACCAAAATGACTTGGAAACCCCTTTCAATTTTGATAAACTTCTTTGCACAATAACTTTTTCCATGTGAATAGAAGTTGTTGTGGATGATAATAAGAAACCATAGCACCAAAAACCACTTCCAAATATTAAGAATTGAAAGATTTATACACTTGTGATCAAGAAGCCAAGAACTTGTCCAATTAGGTCAAATCTCTTCAATCAATCCTTGCCTCTTTTGACTTTCTTTGACAAATTGAAGCATGATGAATCATATTAGACCTTGTCATGATGTCACTTTAAAGCATCTTCAATGATGAAGCTTGAATCTCAATGAAGCTTTGTTGAATAAGGCATAAAAATAAACTCATGAACCTATGAATCAACTGATGAAATGTGTTGTGCCCTCACACTAGTGTGATCTTGATATGATTGAGTTGATATGAGATGATAGAGGAATCTTAAGGGAAAAAATTGGGGTACAACAGGTAGGATGTTTTTGGATTACTAATTCTTTGTATTTTGGCAGGTTGAATAAATAGGTTACTGGAGAAGACGATCGGAGCTAGGGCTCCGGCACCTCTCCGGTTTAAGCGTTTTATTTATATTATTATATTTATTGAATGATATAAGTTAATGAATGTACAATTATCCCAGAGGTAGCACCGCGCACGTTAAGTCATTGGTGTCAAAGGGCCTGGATTCGATCCAGCCTTTTGCCACTTATTTTCCTAACATTTCCATATTTTGCAAGATTAATTACTAAATGCGCTGAACCTGTTTCCTATCACCAAGGTGCGCTTGGCCCAGTGGTGAGGGTGTTGGTTGAAAGTTGTTGAGGGCATGGGTTCAACACCCACCCCTACCACTTTTGAGTTTATTTTCTTACAATTCTCTATCCTTCTCTTAAAACCTTCTTTTTACAAAACCTTTTCAAAACCTTTAATTTTTTTTCTAAAAAACCTAATTAATTTTTAGGTTTTCATTTAATTAACCTTAATTAATTTTTAGATTTTCACTAATTAACCTTTTTTATTAATTAAAATCAACTTAGGGTTTTAGGTTTTTTTTCTTTTAATTAATTAAAATCAATTAGTTTTTAGGTTAATCATCCAACCATTTTTCTATAAAAAAAATCACAAAATAATTTCTTTTTCCGTTTCTTTTTATTTTATAAGTTCGCATATTTTATTAGTGTCGCTTGTTTCATTATTTCTCCAACTATATATGTGCTTACAGTTTGTAATAGTTTAATTAGAGTTTTACTATTCCCCCCTTATTTTTACTATTTTGTACCCCCATTCCCGAAGCCTTGTAATAGTGTAGAGTTTTATTTCTCGCACTTTACTACTTTTCACTATTGCTATATTATTTTGCTAGTAATTAGGGTTTGTATGAAAAGACTAAAAACAAATATAGAAAACCCTAATTACAAGACTAAAATAACTGAACATGAATCACTCTTCACACTTTCACCTCTAGGATAACCTCACTTTTTGCCTCGGGAAACAATCATGTCCCTTGAATATGGGGCCACTTTAGCACTGTCTCTCGATTAAAAAGATCGTAGTCCCTCGATGACCCTTTCGATGCTGCCTTCGATAAACGATCTAGTCTCTTACGATAAAAATGATAAAGTGCCCCTACGACTTGCCTTTATGACTGTACAATGACCCATGCCTGTCCCTTCACATCCAATGATAGGGCTTCCTACTAACTAATGGTAGGATAACATTATCTAAAGGAGGAGGAAAATGACAAGTCAGACCTTGAGTAGGTAGATAGTTCTTAATCGCCTGCTCACATTTTTTTTAAAAACAAAAACATTTCTCACAATTACACTTACAAAATATTTTAAAAAACAAACACTTCGTACGCGTTCTTAACTGATACAAGAATCATTACAAAATTGTCGTATTTAGGCATTTTCGAAATATTTTCAAACACGAACATAAAGCATTTTTTAAAAACAATGTGAGCTAGAGATTAAGAGTCCGTAGATAACTATAGATGAAAAGGGTGTTGACACCTTCCCTTTTCATAACCTACCCCCCGAACTCAAAAATTCTCAAAGGTCTTTCCTGTTCTTTTCACCCTTTCCTCATTGGATAAAAGAAAAGTCAGTGGTGACTCTTGCTATCCGTAACATTTGCGATAAAACGCAAAATCAAGTTAGTTCTCCCACCGTATTGCACTAGGATTCTCCATAAACACATCAGGAAAGATGTTAGAACATCTAGAATGACATCAAGCACACAAATACCACATCAAAAGTAGCAGCAACAACACAAACAAGCATGACAGACAATCATGCTCCCCCTAAATAGTTGCATATAGTAAGCAACAACAATAGACTACTCTTCAATTAACAGTAGCACAATCCTATCACAATGTTAGTCAACATGTCAAGACATGTGACATGACATCAGGATAAACACAAATACACTAACACTTTACTCCCCCTTTTTTAGTCAAATTGTCAAAAATAGAGTAAATATAAAAATACTCGGAAGCACACATATTGCACACAAGTAATAACACAGATGGAAGAACAAAACACTAGCAATGGAAACACAAAACTTCAGATGGAAACACACAATCTTGTATCATCTTCAGGTGATCTTTCACCTTTTACCCCTGTCAAAAATCCGTCTGCACTTCTTCTTGTTGTCACAATTCTTAGGAGTGTTGGTACTGAACTCCTTTACTAGTACCACCTTAGAACATGCCTTCTTTAAAACAACCCTTTGTTCTTTTAGAGGCCTTTTGTTCAACCCTTTGACAAATTCAACAATAGCAATTAGCTTAGGCGTATCATGCCTCAAAACATAGAGGAAAGACAAAGTATTTGCTGCATTCCTCCATACATGTAACTGCTATAACTCCTCAATAGTTCACGTTCCTAGCTTACTCCTCATGTTCTCAAATTGATTTTCATATAGTCCTTTGGTAAGCATAACAATCAGTTGTTTCTCAGAGTCCACATGCACTAGAGTAATAACCTTGTCATCAACTAGATTCCTAATAATATGATTGTGGCTGTCAAAATTCATGTTCCAGCTGTATTGAATGAGATATTTGAAAGTACTCAATGTTGCACCTCGAAATTTTCCCTCTTAATTTTAACCCTAAGTGGATTATATGTTTCATCATCATTCATACATGCAAGGCATTAGTTCTTGTGATATGGGATCAATTTCATCAATGAATTAGGGTTTTCTCCTATCAAGAATGAGATACAATGATCAATCAATGCAAGTTTGAGGTAACAACTATCATTAGGATCATTCTCATCAAGATATAAGATTTTTCTTTCTATACAAGTTCCTCAGGATCATCAGGAGATCCAGGTTTCCGCTGCTTGAATATGGATCATAAGTTTCCATCCATTTGATTCTTAATTTAGTTTGATCCACATTTAAACTCATTTATCCATTTGTCAACAACTAGGTATTGGTGCATGTTTCTTGAATCTATTGTTGCTTCAAGTGCAAGTTATTGAAGACTTCAGGTTTTAACATGGAATTAAGATTTCTACAAGAGACAAACAAGGCATTATAATTGATAGTGACTTGACCTGATCTTTGAAATCTCCACTCATGTTCAAAACAATGGCTATTTGTACTGGTGCACATCATGGAAAAGAAGATGTCAAACTTGAATTAAATTTGAAAGAAACTTTATTTGAATTCAAAGTTGGTGGATTACAAGATACATTCTTATTCATACAAGTAAGTTATTACATGAAAGTTTCTCAGCCTAAAACTTACACGAGAAAATCAAGGTCCTAAAGGTTCAAACCATTTACATCCAATTATCATTACCGTTTCAAGATTTGTTCAATATGTCTACAATTATCCATTATAGAGAACCATATCCATACTTCAACTTCATTCAAAGTATCATGTTATCACATCTCAAATTGAATTCTAAATGTAAGTGCCTAATCCTAAATCTAAGCTAAGTTTTTCGTCACTCTTCAAAGCAATCTTGTTCCCGTTTCCATGTCTGCCTTCAAACTGTCCATGGCCAAGTCTTGTAATCACACTTCATGCCAAAACAACATGAATGCCAAACCTATCCAGAAAAAAGTCAATAACAAACCTGCATCATTAATGAAGAATGAAATCAACTCAACTAACGGAAAATCAGAATAAATTGAGAAACAGTTGAGATAAAAAGCCACAAAAAAAAAAAAACATAATTTGTGTATCAAGAAAAAAGTACAGAAAATAATTGAATCAAAAAATTATTTAACAGCTCACACTAAATCAATCTCAGCTCTCCAATTTCTTAACAGAAAATCGAATCCAGAGGCTGAGAATTACTATGATATAACAAACTTTTCATCAGCACTGATATAACAGGGAGAACAATCACAGAATAACTGAAAGAAACAACTAAAACTCTCTCTCTCTCTCTGATAGGCATAAGAATCACAGAGCAAAAGAGAAGAAATACTCACCTCAATCTTCCTCTAAAAATTATCTTCAATCTTCATCTCTCCGGGTAACGAATGGAGGTCGAATCGCAGCATCAGAGGGTCGTGAGAACGGCGCCGTTCATGGATAGAAGGGGGGAGATCGCCGGGGTTTGGGGTTGAAGGAGAAGAAAGAGCCTCTGTTTCTCGTGGAAATTGAAAATTCTCAAAGGAACCCTATCCAACTATCCATACGCACGCGTTTTACGTTGTTTCTCTTTTCCTTTTCACTTCTTTTTAATATTATTATTGAATTATTAAATAAAAATGATAATGCTGATAAAAATAGAGAGAGTTGGATGGTATTGGGCCGAGATTTCTAGGCCTGTTTGCAACTTTTTTTAATTGATGCATTGCACAAAATGATTCATGAATTTTCTTTAGATTGGGCTTAGCGCTATTGTTTTATTTGTTAATATAGTGGCACTGTATGCAGATTGCACCTTCTGGATTCCTCTGTTTGAATTGTTTCTTATAATTATTGTGATCGATTTTTAATTGAGGGTGTGAAGCTTTGAATATTTTTCTGGAGTCTTTCTGCACGCGTTAAAGAGGCGATGAACCTTCTCCGTTAGGTATCATCGTAGCTTTATTTTATTCTTCATTCTTGCATCGTTTTCATTTAATCTTGTCATGAGAAGTAGGATAGAGATACATGACTGAAAGTCCTAACGTCGTAGGCTATGTTTGTTGTGTAGCTAGGAATTAACTTGTGATGATACATGTTGATACCTCTAGAGCACAATGCTAAAGTTGTGATACGCGTTCACTTTCTATTTGATTCAGGTTCATTATATGTGTGATACATGTTCACTTTCTATTTGGTTCAAGTTCAATATTTGTTGTGATACATGTTCACTTTCTATTTGATTCAGGTTCATTATATGTGTGATACATGTTCACTTTCTATTTGATTCATGTTCAATGTTTGTGATGCGTGTTCACCCTTCTGTTTTGATTCATGTTCAATGTTTGTGACGCACATTCACCTTTCTATTTGATTCAGGTTCAATAATTGTTGTGATGCATGTTCACTTTCTTTTTTATTCAAGTCCATTATTTGTTGTGATACTTGTTCATTTTCTACTTTGATTCATGTTTAATATCTTCTAGATGCTTGTTTATTTCCTCGATCTATGTTCAATAACGTTTATGCATGTTCATGTTCACTTAGTCTTTTGCATGTTTAGATAAACTTTATGTGATGTCCTGATTCACCTTAGCCTAATTCATGTTTAGGTACCCTTGTTGTGATGTCTTGATTCACCTTAGCCTAATGCATGTTTAGGTAAATCTTTTTATGATGCTTGTTCATATTGTGATGTCTTGATTCACTTAGCCTATTGCATGTTTAGGTAAACATTATGTGATGTCTTGATTCACTTTCCTATTGCTTATTTAGGAATCCTTGTTGTGATGTCTTGATTCACCTTAGCCTAATAAATGTTTAGGTAACCCCTATTGTGATGTCTTGATTTACCCCATCTTATTACATGTTTAGGATATATTACATCTCTTATATGCTTGTCATGATAACACATGTCTCTATTGCTTGCTTAGATGATGGTTTGATGTTTTTGTATGCTTGTCTTGATAGCATCTACCTTGCTCGTTGGTATATTATCTTGCATGTTTGTCCTGATAACATGCCTGCTTATCTTGATAGCTTGTGTCTTGCATGTTGGTCTATTATCTTGCATGTTTGTCCCGATAACATGTTTGCTTGTCTTGATAACTTGTACCTTTCCTTTTGGTATATTATATTGCATGTTTGTCATGGTAACAAGTCTGCTTGTCTTGATAGCTTGTACCTTTCCTGTTGGTATATTATCTTGCATGTTAGTATCGATAACATGTTTGCTTGTCTTGATAGCTTGTCCTTGCCTGTTGTAACGGTGAAAATCAGAGATCAAACTATTGATTAACTTGACTCGCAAAAGCAAGAGTGGTCACCGCACTTTATCATTTTCAAGGAAAAAGAGAAAAGTGCGAAATAAAACCCATGAATATGCAAAGTATGAATAATACTAAAAGTAAAGAAAAATACAATGCATTTCAAAGAGATCGAAGGTTCGAGGGTTGGTTATACAAAGGGAAGGTACTAGCACCTTATGTATATATAGTATCATATAGGAACATTTTGAAATATCTGTTTTTGGTTAAAATTGGTTTGCTTGCTAAATGAGTGTGGGGATGGGATTTTGAAAACGCGACAACCTAGTGTCGGAGTTTTGGCTTAAAAGAGTGCAAGTTTAAAAATTAAGTTTTCATGAGATTTAATTTAAGATTAACAAAAACTAAAATTTATGAAAGGGTTTCGCACAATCGTATTAGATACTTGATGACATGAAGTCAACTAATTAATTTTTCCCTTGGAATTAGACGCAAACAGACAACGATATAAAGACTAAATAATCGAAGAAATTAGACAGATAGTGATTAAAAAGCTGAATAATTAATAACAAAAAATTTATATAAGAAAGGAAAAAATTATACTAATGTATTTTTGGTTTTTTTTATGAGGGTAAGAAAGAAATAGTTACAAACCTAATCTAATATATATTTTTTGTATTTTTTTCTAATAACTTTTTTAAAGAAATAAGGCTAAAAAAGAGTTAAAACTAAAACATAAGGGCCAGGGATCAAACTCAAGTCCCTATAATATAGCTATTCTGCCTTACCACTACACTACATTTCTCATTTTGTTATATCTATACTTTAATTAAAATAAAAGGAAAATATTAAAACAAATTTGGGCTGAAAAAAGGGCCTAAAACTGACCCGATTTGGGAAAGGGAAAGGAAGGGTTTTGAAAACCCTAATTTGTTGGGAGAAGGGGCGCCGCTGGCTTTGGGAAAGGGGAAGGGTTAATGCTTTTGAATTTTTCAACTAATTAAAACACTTATAGTGTAAACTGATTTTTTTCTCTTCCCTCAACCTCATTCTCTCTTACGCTCAATTTTCTCCCTCACATCTCCGCAGCTGCAACCATACCTTCATCTGGTTTCCTCATCATCTTTAATCGGTTCTTAATTCCTCATTTTCGATCCTCTCATCATTCAATGTTAACTCAAACTCTTGTTTAAGAACAAAATCGACAAACTCCTCTCAGTTTCAGTTCCAGGTAATCTCCCCCAATCTCTATTCTCTTTGGTTTCTCGCTGGGATGGAAACTCCCTCTGTTTCTCTTCTTGGAATCAACAAAAAAAAGTCTGCTCTATTTCAATCGTTTCCTCACCGGACAACAACAAGATACTCCATCGATTCCTCTTTAATCCACTCCCTATTCACAACCATAACTTGTTTCCAAAATACTCCCTCCGCTCTAATTTTTTTCTACTTCCTCTATCTTTCTTTTATCGAAGACAACAACAACATAACTTTCGCTTCTCGTAGAAGAAAAAAAACACTTTGTTCTCGCGGGTTTTATCATGAACAAAATAACAACCGCAATATTCACAATTTCAGATTCAACTAAATGATAGTATGCAAACAATAACAACAATTACATGACAAAAAACTTAGAACAACAATCATAGATGCAAAAATTGTAGAAGAAAGTACCTATCGGAGACCCTCCGATGGGCTTCAAAGAGTTGAGTTCCAAAAATCTCTCCTTATTAACAAGCTTCCTTGTACTTTCCTCTGCTTATTTTCTACGATGCATTCTGGATTCTCTATTGATGATGATGAAGATGCTTGGTGTATGATGCTATTGAGAATTTTCTGTGCAGGTATCAATGATTGAATTGGTTGTATAGGTATCAATTAGATGTTATTGCAGAGAGGTTGAGTTTTAATTTGGACATAATTTCTTTTCTTTTCTTCTCCGTTTTTCTGGTTTGATTGTTGACTGAAAACTTGATGGGAATTTGCAAATTGAAGGAAGTTTATGGTCAAGCCTATTTAGAGTTTCGGTGTGAAACTCTTAATAGCTTATGATGGAGCTTTGATGGAAGGTTATGGAGGAAGAATCTTCTAGATGAGTTTTTTTTGCAGCACTATTGTATTCTTTTCTTCCCTCCCCTTGGTGATGATTCTTGGTTCTCTATTTATAGTGAAGTATATGGGGTTTTAGGGAGAAAGAGTCTGATGAATTTGAACATATTTGGTATGCTGACTTTGGCTTTCTTTGATGCAGACTGAAGCTTTCCATTCTTGTGCAAAATTGGGACAACTTGAATGCAGGCTTGAACTGGTATGTTTTTGGACAATATTCTCTTGCTCTATTATGGTCTTTCTGTTGTGTTAACCTTTTTTTCTTCAGTTTTTTCTTTTAATCATATTAATGTAAGATCTGGACTGATAACTATAATTTTTCTGTGGCCATAGTGCAAGTATTTTGGACTATTTCCTTTGTTTTGTTGCCGCAAATATTGTGGATAAAGAAAGGTCATAATTCAACTATTTTTGCATTATATAGGTTTGGCAGGCTGGTGGAGCAGCATTGCAGCAAATTGCAAGTTTAGGGATTGGCTTTACAGGGCAGTAGGGTTGGAAATCGGGCAACATGTTTATCTTGGACTGTTATGGTTGTCTTATGGCTGGACAAGGGCAGCATTACAGGACAACAAGACAACAAAACTTTTTTTGTACATATTTTATGGCATGAAGGATTGAAGATTAGGTTTAGAACAAAAGTCTTGTGTAATTGTTTTATTTTTATGCAAAGTTTCATATGTAACTTGTAATACTTGTAATTCGCTTGTTATATTGCCATGATTAAAATGATGGTATAATGAACAAATCTGATTCTTATACTTCCAATATTGATAGCAACTTGAATTGATATAAATAATGAAAGCCTTGGATGAATATTGGATGGCATCTTGATCTTGAATATGGTATGAATTTTGAGTGAATGATAGTAGACATGAACAAATCAATGATGATGATGAACGATGCTTAGAACATGAATGAAACTTGCTCGTTGAATTCATGACGAACTTGAATAATGAATGAGCTCTTGTTTGAATGCAACCTTGAATGAATCTTGATGAAAGTTCAAATCTCAATGATAAAATTCAAATCACCTTGAACTCCTAACTTTAATTTCCCCAAGTTCAAGTTGACTTGCAATTGAAGTAACAAGTGTTTGATGAGAATAAAAAATTGTACCGATCAAAATAAGCTGTAACTTATACTTCAATCCACCATAATGAACAATGCCTTTGAAGAAACTTATTATGAGTTGAAAGTAGAAGTTAAGAATATTCTAAGTCAAAACATGACCTATAACGTTTCGGTAAATTTCATGGCTTTCCAAGCTCAATTCGACTTTGATTTTTGAAGAAATCTCATAGACAACACTATTTGTGATACTTTGCAAAAAGAATTGCCTCAGAACATCAAAAAATGAGGAAGTTATGATCCTCGAAAGTTTGACAAGATCTTCTTGGAATTAGGTCAAATTCACAAAAGGACCTCTAAAGTATTCAAATTTTTGATGATCCTCCGCACATAATCAGCTCTTGAGTTGTAAATAGAAGTTGGAGATGACGTCAAGGAAAGTCATACGCAAAAATAACCACTCAAAAACATTGAATAATGAAGAAGTTACAATCGTTTGAACTTGATCTTGAAAATGTTGACTTTTGGTCGAAGCATTTTGAATTGACTTGCAAACTTGATCCATCCTCGCATTCCCAGACATATTGATGCATATATGGACTAGTGTTGATGAAACCTTGACTGTGCTTTTGGTTAAAGGCCAAACGTTGATGAAGTAGTCTTTGAGAATTGGTGATTCACCATATTTGAACACTTAAGGAGTCAGAAACCCTAATTAAGGCGCAATGCCTGATGCTTTTGATTCAGACTTATCCCTGCACATGAAAACAATGAAACAAAGCATACACCTTTCTATTTGATTAGATGTTGGTGATTCATAAGATAAGATGTTCGCAACACTTGATAATCTCTCCATAAGCAATGCTCAAAGGTGAGCAGATTAAAAACCAACTATATCTCATGACCTTGATGATACATGAGAGTGCAAATGAATGTGAGATCTTAGGTCAAAATTTGGGGTATGACACCTGTTGGTCTATTATATTGCATGTTTATCCTAATAACATGTCTTCTCATCTTGATAGCTTGTACCTTGCCTGCTGGCCTATTATATTGCACGTTTGTCCTGATTACATGTTTGCTTCTTTTGATAGCTTGTACCTTGCATATTGGTATATTACCTTGCATGTTTGTCCTGATAACATGTCTGCTTGTCTTGATAGCTTGTACCTTGCTTGTTGGTCTATTCCTTGCATGTTTGTCCTGATAACATATTTGATTGTCTTGATAACACTTACCTTGCTTATTGGTCTATTCCTTGCATGTTTATCCTGATAACATGTTTGGTTGTCTTGATAACACTTACCTTGCTTGTTGGTCTATTACCTTGCATGTTTATCCTGATAACGTGTCTGTTAGTCTTGATAACATGTCTACTTCCTTGTTGATTTAACATCATTGATGTATGCTTTTCCTTATCGCATTTCACCTCACCTGTTGGTTTGATACTTGTATGTATGCTTGTCATGATAGCATTCTCATCATATTTCATGTTTAGGATAGTTTACAACACATATACTTGTCATGATAGCATTCTCATCCTAGTGCATGTTTTAGGATATCTTACATATCACAAATGCTTGTCATGATATCATTCTAGTCCTATTATTTGTTTAGTATTAGTTGATACCTAATTCATGTTTAGGTACCCTCCCTTGATCATATCTTGTAGCATGTTGTGATTGCTTCTTATTACTTACCTATTGCTTGTTTATTTATCCTTTGTGTTACTTGTATACTCTCCTTGTTTGTGTGCTTTCTTGCTTACTACTTGTTTAGGTATCCTTCGTGTTACTTGTACACTCCCTTTTTTTATGAGATGCCATGCTCCCATAGGATTCTCGATTCGATTTTGGTTAAGACGAACTGAGTAGACCCTAGGTTTGTAAACCAAGCATGATAACTTTAGGTAGGATTCCCTGTATCCTAACCTTAAGGCCACCATTGCATGATGACAAGTAGGATTAAGATCCCTTAGTGTTAGGTTTATTTCTTGAATTTCATGTATGTAAAACTAAAACCTTTTTCTCAAGCAAAATTGAAAAAGACTAATAATTACGATGTGTGCAAATACGACACCAGTCTTAAGCATGCGTAGAGTACTTTGGATACGAGGCTCCTGGCTCGACCATCTAAAAGTCTCTCATATTATAGACTTTAGTATTGTACGTATCTCAGACACTTTTCAGAAAGTAAAGGAGTAATCAGATACCTCTGACCTTGGAGGACCATCTGAGGTATTCTCCAAACAAAAAAAATTCAACCAATCAAATTCTATTTTTCCAGTTGGCTTTTCTTATGAAAACATTTCAAAAAGGGTTGTTACCCATAAAAAAACATAAACAAACAAAAACTTTTGAGCCGAACCACTACGCTCTGATTCCTTAAAAAGGATACATAGGCATTGGGTTGCCGGGCCTAAGCGAGCACAACTATTAAAAACCTTTATTTTCCCTGTATATTTATTCTGCATTCATGCATTCCTTTAGATAGACACACCTTTTGATTAGAACAACAAGAGTGGAGTTCATGGAGTACCATGAACGTGAGGGGTATTAATACCTTCCCCTTGCATAATCAACTCCGATACCCTTCTCTTGGTCGAAAGACCTAATTTTCTCTCAGGTTTACTCGATGATTTCCTTTCCCTTCCTTGGGATAAATAATATTCGATGGCGACTTTATTGTTTTCCTAGTTTCTTCAGCTGGCGACTTCACTGGGGAATACCTAAGTGAGTCAGTCCTAGCTCTTGTGTGTTTATATTCATTGGGTGTTTATCTATATGTTTTACTCGCTTTATGTATTGCATATATTTATATATTTATTGTATTTTTATTACATTTTATTGCTTTCCATATTTTGGATATATGTTGTTGTGTTAGATATTTGGGTTTTTGTATTTTTCTTGGTGGGTGGGGTGATACTATGAGGTAAAAGGCCCAATACTGGGGCCAATGTTCACCTAGGATTAGAGTGGATAGTTATGTTGACTCCTGTGGCGTCTGGCACGTAACAGTTGGCATAATATACCGCACCCAGACAAGGTTCACTTTGGGGTGCTATTGTCCTTCATGCTTGATGCATAAGACATAGTATTTTCACTGAGGACTCCCAACTCTGGTTTGCCATTAGGAACCTCTATTCTGATTAGAATTTACCTGTGAGATGGGGTGGGAATTACTCTTACAGGTACAAATGATGATCTTCATGATACTTGGTTCCTTTG